ATCAGAATAGGTACACATACAATAGATCTAAATCTAAAAAAAATATGGCACTGAATAGCCATTTTATGCCTTATAACACCAACAGCCGCCTGTCTGATTCCGCTCAAATAACGGAGCGGGAACGCGGTGATACGAAAAGCGATAAAATTATGACACGTAAGAATGATATTTTATTATTGAAGCCGCCAGTTTATTAGAATAGCGTTTATCCTAGATAAGTTTCAACACCGCTAAAAAACACATTTCCTCTAACGTTAATGATACACAATGGTTAATAATGGCTGCAGTTCCACATATTGGTACTATGCACATACGTACCTAATTATTTCACGGCGTTATATAATCAGGACAAATTACTAGTATTACTTACCGTCGACGCTGCCGAGATATTTCATTTCTCTTTATTATCAAAGTAATGATAATAATAACAATGGTGGTCGCCGATGTCATTAGGAAGCGTGTATGTATACGGATATTGCCTTCGTCATCTAGAAGAGCGCCGCAGCGATAGAACACGTCCGCGTGGCACCAGCCACCCGACGGTGCACCGTTAGTGTGTAGTTTAATGCGAGACGAAATAATTGGTCGATTCATAAGGTTATTTATCTGCTCGCCGCTGACATAAGGGGCCCCCCTATCTGCTGAGGCCGGTAAGAGATGAGGGAATGATAGAGGGCGTTTCCAAACAGAAGATGAGGGAAAGATACTCGATACGGTGGCAAGCGACGAAGCGGCACAATCCTGAAGGGCCCATAGCTGAGAGGTGCCTAATAGGGCGGCAAATACAGAGGTTGCCCGGAGTATGCTCTGTACGTTGCCGGGCTGCTCTTTCGTTTGTATGAGAACTATAGGCGCACTCGCCCGCGGGCTCACTTGCGCCACTTTGACGAACCTCGATATCTCTGACAGAGAGAAGTCCCTGCAGCGGGGGTTTATAAACGAAGCCATCGCATAACAGGCGCGCAGGCGCCAGAGGAGCCTCTTTGATCTGCCCGAGGGTTTGCACGAGCGTGCACCCGGCCCTAAGTACTACTATCAGTTGCTATCAACTACACGAAAGGGGGACCAGAAAGGTGATTCTGTTGACGGCGAAGAAGAGACTGGCCGAGTCTTATGCCCTCCCCAACTCCCCAATGTCAGACTCTCACTTTCTCGCATTCGATCGGCCATTAGTGAAAACTGTGAATGCAATTCATCAATCAGCTACACAGCCATAAATTTCACAATGAGCATTGTTTTGGATTAAGTGGTAAACCAGCCTCAGGGACGATAAGTATAAAGAAGAAACAGTTGCTTGTTTATCCATATGCAAACTTAAAATTATATACGATAACACATAATACAACGTACAAATCGTATTCAGGTCAACCCAACCCTAACTTGGAAGGTTCGTGTTTACTGCTACTGGATGCACACACGGTTCCGGCAGCTAACTTATTTTATTGTACGAACTCGCCTTTAACCCTGTAATTCTAACATTTTGTAAATGGAAATTTAGCGTTGGGTTATTTTGGTGCCGTTCATCGTAACTAGGAAGGTTCACGCCTGGAGCCAACTGTGATGCTTTTTTCTCTTTTATTGGCACTTAAAGTTTTCGGTATTTAGCGATTTGTAGATCTAACCCCATAGATGTCATGCCAAATCACCAAATGTACACAAACTACCAAGCAGCAACACAAACCGAGAGTTTGCTTGACAGGCGAGATGTTTAATTTTCAGTGTCTATCATTCGTAAATCTATATTTTGCCAATTACTACTAAAGATACGCACGATGGCACCCGAGATATACTATAGGGAGCTCGAAAAAGCTCTCTTATATCGTATTAGGCTGTTACAAGCGAACTTCATAGCTTTTAAACTACACGATACTAGCGGGCAAGGTTTGGTTGATGAATACTCGAGTATTGTTGAAACTCGTCATTGAAAATTCGTTGAGTTTAAGAGAAGGTAGTTTACAAGGAAAAATACCTTTCGATCTAGAAGATATACGCCCAGTTGTCAAGTTTTTTTTTTGCCACTCAGACCAGCAACGAGGTGACATGAAATCGGGACCTGAAGGGTAAAAACGCATTGTTGCAGTTGAAAAGGCTTCTTACAAAAGCTCACGGGTTCAGAATCTAGGGGCTCTGTCGGCCAAAACCGGCTTTTCACCTGTAGCGTACTACAGAATTATGACCCACATACTGAAACGGAAGAACCTGAGTAAAAAATAGGTTTCCCCTAAAACGATTCCACGCCAGTTGGAAATTCATGTTGTCTAAGAAGTCTAATTTCTATAGCTTCAATTCAATCACCAAAAGTTGTTTTTTGAACTGTTTTTACTAACACTTTAAAGTTCTTTAGATCAAGATTTATTACGGACGTTCCGCTTGGCCTCATGAACATCCTCCTTGGATTTTTTAGAAGTCCTGCAAAAACTAATAAACATATAGAGCGTCAACCTCGGGCTAGTTTTAAATCTTGGTGGGGGGCTCGCTCACCGCAAAAAGACTACGTAACATCTGA